TCTGTACACGCTCCCTGGTTTCGCCCCCCCTAAGAAATACCTGGCACCGCCCCTGTGGGAGAACACCCATTATATACTCTTGATAATTATTGTAATTTTTTATGTGAAAATAAATGTTTGAGATGTGAAAGTCGAGATGAGGGCGAGTGATGGCATTACACCTAAATGATCGCCATTTAACGTTTTTATAATATTCAGATTGAGGCACTGCCTAAAACGGAAGTTCCCGATGTGTAACGTGAAGATTGAGAAGATACGCTTATTCCACGTAGCTGCTATATATATACCACGTGACAATGTGTGTTCCCTGCCCATAACACAACTTTTGTCAAAGTTTAATTGGTTGCATGGAAGTGTTTACTTCGTATGAGTTTTTCTAGGCGGTAGCACACGGTTGCCATCTGTATATCGCAATAATAATTTATAAACCAAAATAAATCACAATTTGTGACGGAGATGCGCTATACCTGCTTATGATGTTTTAGCAGCGATGGCGTTCGAAATAAATAGGTTATGCTGCGTTCCGACATGTTTTGTAAAACTTTACTCTAATATAGACGTTTTATCGGCAGGGTGGAAAGGAAATGCCAATTTTGCATTAAAGATATTGTCAATGAAATCTTGTAAAATGAACCAGACGAGTGTGACACCACAGACTGTTATCTGCGTGTCTATATTATAATATGCTATATAATTGCCAAAACCAACCTAATTTGCATAATTTATTTTTAAATATCAAAACCCCTAGCCCTTATTCATTCACATACCAAAAATAAGCAAAATCCGTTGAACCTGAACTGACTAATGGCAATTCCCATTTTTGCCAAAAAATTGCCGTGGCTCAAAAGTACGTCGACTGGCGTGCTCCAAAATAGGCCGTTCAATATAGAAGCATAGCAGTAACAACTATACCCAATTTCAAACATGTGGGTCAAATGGTTCCTGAGTTATCGTTGGCCGTAGCCAAATGTTGACGAACGGACGGACGGACGGACGGACGAACGAACGGACAGACGGACGGACGAACGAACGGACAGACGGACGGACGACGGACGACGACCCATGGCAATAGCTCAGCTTAACGATATCAAGGTGAGCTGAAAATGAATGGAGTAGTGTACCACCTAAATTGTATTATGACTTAATTACGAGCAGATGTGTCCCACATTCTAAATCACAGAACTGCTGGTACACAGGCCTGTGGCAGAGCGAAGGGCTATAGTTCTAGAGCTAAGTGAGGTAATACATGGCATATGCGACTATTCACAAACTTGTGAAGACGGTGGTTGGTAGCGTTGGCCATGGAATTAGTTAGTCACATAAAAGTGTAGCAGCAAAGAATAGGCCTATTCTTTGCACCAGTGTACATATTTTCATCCGTGCAAGATTTCATGCAGAAATCATTCACAGAATCGCATTTAACTGCAGTATTGCATGAAACCACGTATTTTAGGGTTTAGATTTAAACAAAGTCGCTGACTACATTTGAGAGAACGGATGAGACTGACAAATAATTTTCCGCTTGAATATCACCGTTTCGAGTCAATCATCACGTTCGCGATTACAGTGTTTAACCCGTTGTACGAGGTGAGTAGCACTCAGATACTGAAGGATTCAGCTAACAATGCGTTATCTATCCTAATTGCGTGTGTGACGTACAGTGAGAAAGAAGTGTTATAATTTACACAACCAATAGATAGCACACCACCTGATATGATGGAAGATGTAATTACATGTAATGAACACATACCTTGAAAATAACTTCCAGAGTATCAGAATTCAAGGACTTGAGCAGAATCTGCTTCAGTAATTCATTAAGGCTATCCGTGGTATGAGCCAATAGGTCGACACAGCTCTCTCTCTCACCTTCAGTGTCCTAGTGATAAAATTCACATAGTGTGTTATATATACTTCTCAAACCTTCATTGGTGGAAAGTATGACATGACAATAAACATTCTCAACAGCTCACATAAAATGTAACGCATAAGATATGAGATGTAGTAATAAAATGTTAGTATGCATGGCGGTATGTACGGTTGGTATGTATTCGTATTTTGCTTACTGTATAAACGAATCACTTAGAGAAAATAGTAACACCGGAGGGGGGGGGGGGCTATAAACATGTTGTAATTTCTCCAGAAATATATGTGTAGTAAGAATCAATAGATTATGAAATTTCCAATATATGTATGTCGAAAAAAAACTATGCATACCTCTTTGCTCTTCCCAGAATCTGGCAGTAAGGGAAAATAGCATTCATGAAATTTGTCCCATTAGATCAGAGGTTTCTGTCAGAGATAGCCTTGGATCCCAGCTTGCTGCAAGAGCAAGTCAAGGTCCAACATGTGCACACGTATGGAAGGCCTTCAACATTACAAGTTCTACAATCAGCTTGGTACCTTTTTAGATTGCCAATATTAAATACGTAACAAAATTACTAATGAACTTTAAAAATGCTTTAACAGTGCGGGTCTGCGGGATGTTGTAGAATATGGTAACGAAGAACCATAAATTATTAGCGAGTAAACATGAAAAATGGAGGCTGGGATTCACGATTTTTCCAGGAGATTTTATATAAATATTATTGTTGGGCTCGGACTGGTTGACAACAAAATTTGCATAGTTCAGTGCGCAAAAAATTGACTATAGTAATGTTTAAAGCAACATCATATATTGTTTTGTCTTTGAAAACGGCTAGTTAAAAAACAGCAGTAACTGATATTATGTTACTACTAGTTGTACAATACACACTTATGTTAAATAGTACCATTTGCCCCTATGTCTACAATTATATATAAAACTTGGTGTTTATATTTACTGAAATTGGAAGAGCAGCATAATCACCATGGTAATAGACCATGGTAACTGCGACTTTGTATGGCAAGTAACATAATCTGGTAACTGTACTGTCATACAAACTTACGCTCATAGGCGTCTATGTCCGCCCAGGGTACTGCCGGACGCTACCCCTGGGTACAGTCCGGTATACCAGAACGTACCTGGTCACTTATTTGATAATGGCTTAGGTGTTGATTAAGGTTAGGGTTAGGGTTAGGGAGTAGGCATAGGCGACTCGCCTTGACTCGTTAGTGAACAGGCGAGGTATCGGCCGTCGCGGCAATGAATAAGATAGTACCAAGGGTGACGCTTGCCGGCAGTACCACGGGACATAGATCCTTCTCAGCCAAACTACAGTTACCAACTATTACTATGTTGGCTGTTGTACTTTACGGGAGTATCTTCACTGACTTCGTTACTGAGGCAGATGGGGTCGTTGTACATATCAGGTACTACAGATATGTACCCGAGGTAGTTTATTAGGTTGTTTTAGTATTATGTTTATATTTTATTATGAGGTATGTTTAGGGTTATGGGTTTAAGGGTTAGGGTTAGGGTAGGGCTTAAAGTTAGGGTAAGTAACACTTTCTGTAGTACAAGGCTATCTGTACACTTTGGTGGTATACCATATATGTTACGCGTCGGTAAGCATATGCGTAGAGCCTGATACGACGACTCCTTTCAGCTTTACTGAGAACTTCAGCTCAGAAATTTTACTGAATATTTAGTGGAAATGAAAGGTGTCAATGACACTGGTAGCTTACCACAAAAAGGACAAAATAGTGAGTGAGAAAGAAGTGCAGTTTTAATTGAGGCAACCATCACGTCATTATAGAAACCGAAGAGTATATATGGGAGAACTCCACCCTTATATAACTCTTGATAATTATGTGTATTTTTTTATGTGAAAATAAATGTTTGAGATGTGAAAGTCGTGAGATGAGGGCGAGTGATGGCATTACACCTAAATGATCGCCATTTAACGTTTTTATAATATTCAGATTGTAGGCACTGCCTAAAAGCGAAGAGCTCCCGATGTGTAACGTGTAAGATTGAGAAGATACGCTTATTCCACGTAGCTGCTATATATATACCACGTGACAATGGTGTTTCCCTGCCCATAACACAACTTTTGTCAAAGTTTAATTGGTTGCATGGAAGTGTTTACTTCGTATGAGTTTTTCTAGGCGGTAGCACACGGTTGCCATCTGTATATCGCAATAATATTTATAAACCAAAATAAATCACAATTTGTGACGGTAGATGGCGCTATACCTGCTTTGATGTTTCTTAGCGATTTAAGGGTGTTTTTAAGTTTTAACACGCGAGCTTTCGAGATGTACATCTCGCGTATTAAAACATAAACACCCTTAATCTATTATTTGAATTTGTTTTTTATCTACATGGGTGTTCGTGTGTGATTTTACTTCTATATATATATATATATATTATATTATATTATATACATGTGATCAGGATCGAGGATGTGATATTATTTTAAAAAAATCGGTGGCAGTTAATGCCATCGACTAAAAGCAGTACATGATCTAGGGTTTAAGGTTTAGCAAAGTTAACTAAATGTTTCAGACTATACTTTTCAAATAATAGTGAACTATACAAGCCACCTCTGGTTGGAGAAATTTCAGCTGGTGTAACATGTGTAATGCACAGTGTAAGTAATTATAATGTTAAATCAAATGATCTCAAAAATCAAATATAGGTTTATAAATGTTTTGATGATGTTGATAAGTTGAAAGCTTACCTTAGATAGGTCACTGACTACACTAAACAATGCGTTTGGATCATCACGGGCCACCCTCTCCTTCAGAACTGACAGTGCGCTGATCATTGCATCTTCATCATCCCTAGGAGTACCTGCAACAGAACAAACAACATCACACCGCATTCTTATAGGTAACAACAATAAGAAAATGCTCAATACAATAACGACAATTACCACACATTCTGGGCAGTGACATCACCAAATAGTCAAGAGAACGATGAACATCACTACTGTGCATTTTAGTTACCAACAATTACCAAATAGCCAAGAGCTTTCTGAACATTAACTGCAATACGACGAACATTATTGCGTATGTACATTACTCACTGTATATACGATAATATTCTACTATCTAGTCATGTACGTTAATGAGCTACTGTTGAGATAGTCACCAACAGTCACTAAACGTAAACTCATTTGCTGGATGGTTATTGAACATGTTTGAGTCACGCACCCTGATAGAGCAATTGAATCTGCAGCAGGCTCTGGATGGCACCGATGGCCAGTTGTCGGACACTGACCAACGGATCACTGACCCTCGGTACAAGCACTCCGACGTGACGTCCTAAGTTAGTGAACGTCGTGGAATTCTGTGAACACACGATGGATGCTGATTCATATGGTTGTGCGAGTAGATTGACAAGTATTCAACCCTTGGCTACTTAATATACTTAATATACTTAGTATGACAACCCTTGGCTTGGCTTTGATGATATGGCTACTTAAAAACTCCCACGTATTCAATGCACACAAATGTTGTATAATTCTTAAACCAATTGATGTGCAATTACTCATTATATTATTAATCATAAATTGTGCCTTAATATCTTGCCGTTTTTGGCAGATTATAGTTACACCAAGTTTAACTGAAAATTTATCACATGACCTTATTTATGTTACTACTAAAAAATTCTCTTTTACAATGCAGGCTATTGAATAAATAATTGATCTAGCAGGTATTATATTTTGTTATCATAGCAACATGAATTTACCCCAACTCCAAATTCCTTGTTTTCGTGGTAGCAATAGAGGACCTCACAGGCTGCAGACATGGATCGTTCTCTCTCATACGGCTGCAGCGAACTTAGCCACTGCCCAAGGTGCTATAGAGGAACCAAGCAACCATCAATTAGATGCCAACACATTAAATAACGTCGTGGGCTTTCTAAAGCATGCTTTCACTGAGAGAACCCTACTTCAATATGTTTAATGTTATCATAAATCAATAAGTAACGATCGTTATCCTATCCTACAGTGCGGTGTGACGTACACGTGACGCAAAGAGAGTGTCTGTATACATTTTACACAACAAGTAATACACAGCGCACCTGACGGACTGAGTGTGAAAGACTGCTAAGTTACATGGTAATGAACAAATACTCCCTGAAAATAACGTCCAGAGTATCAGAATTCCCAAGGGACTCAGGCGGGCAGAATCTGCTGCAGTAATTCTCATTAACAGAGGGCCGTCATCCGATGGGGCTATAGGCAACTAGGTTCGACACAGCTCTTCTCTCTTCACCTTTCCAGAGTGCCCTTAGGCTGATGAAAAGATTCACATACCGTGGTGTGATATATATAGCTCTCTCCAAACCTTCATTGTGGAAAGTATGACATGACAATAAACCAGTTCTCCAACAGCTTCACATAAATGTAAATGTCATAAGCATATCGAGATGGTAGTTAATAAAATGTCTGAGTATGCATCGGCGGATGTACGGTTGTATGTATTTTTGGTATGGTTGCCTTATTGTATAACCGAATCACTTAGAGAAATAGTAACACCGGGGGGGGGGGGGCTATACGAAACATGTTGGTAATTTCTCCAGAAAGTATATGCTGTAGTTAAGAACATAGATTATGAATTTCCGAATATACGTGTATGTCGTAGAAAAGAACTAATCTAGCCTCACTTGGCTTTTTTCAGAATCTGCCAGTACAGGGGAAAAATAGCATTCCATGAAATTGTCATAGATCAGACAGGGTTTGCGGGTGCAGAGATAGCCTGTGGATCCAGCTTGCCTGCAAGGTGCAAGTCGAAGGAGCCAACATGTGCACCACGTCATGGCAGGCCTCAACATTGACAAGCCTTCTACAATCCAGCTTTGGTACCTTTGTTAAGAGATTGCCCCAATATGAAGATACGGCTAACAAGATACTCAAGTCGAACCCCTTCTCACAGAACAGTGCTGTGGTTAAACAGTGCGGGCGGTCCTGCGGGGGGATGATTGAGGAGCCTAGAGAATATGGTAACGAAGCAACCATTAAACTGATTACCTGAGTAACGATTGAAAATCGTAGCTGCATCGACGATTTTTCGAGATTTTTATGATAAAACTTATTGGTGCCTGACCTGGGTTAATAACAAAACATCTTGACTATTCAGTTGCAAAAAACGCTGTGATTATAGGTAATGTTTTAAAGGCCAACATAATACTATTGTTTTGTCGTTTGACACCTAGCGAAAAAACACAGGTAACCATATTATGTTACTAGTATTGCTACAATACACACTTATGTTAAATAGTAAACCCCATTGCCCCCTAGTGCTACAATATATATAAAACCTTGGTTGTTTATATTTACGTGAATCTGGGAGAGCAGCATACACTAACAGCGCATGGCCGGTATAACCATGGTTAACTTGCGATCGTTTAGCTATCGGTGGCCGGAGGAACACCCTAATCTGGTAATGTGGGTTACTGTGTCAGCAAAACTTAACGCGTGCATAGGTCTATCGTCGCGCCCAGCGGGGTAACGGCCGGAACGGTAACCCTGCGGTACAGTCGCCGGGGGTGCTATCACCGCAGAACAGTCTAGCCGCTGTCACTATTTGGATCATGGGTCTAGGCGGTCCACTAGGATTCAAGCGTTTAGGGTTAGGGTTAGTCGGAGGATACGGCATCCGGCGACATCCCCTACTCGAGGCTCGCTTAGCTGGAACAGGCTGGGGTCGCGGTGCCAGGTTTCATATTAAGATTGAGCTTACCCAGGGTACGCTTCCGGCACCCGGGAGCGCCATCGAGAGCCGCGTTCCCGCCGGAGCCGCAGTGACGACGTCGGGACATAGACCTCTCAGCCAAAGCTGTACGACCATATTATTCGTCGCCTGTTGTACTTTAGCGGAGTATCTTCACTAGTCAGACGTTACTGACCGGCCAGATGGGCTCGGTTGGTCATGATCAGTACTTTAGGCAGATAGTGTACCCTCCGCCGCGCTGGCTGGAGGTAGTGTGTCGAGGTTGTTAGATTATGTGTTCTTTTCTTTATTTTTTTCTTTATATTTTTAATGAGTGTTATGTTTTAGTTAGGTGCGGCACTCGGTTTAGGGTGCTAGGGTTAGGGGTTAGGCGCGTTAAATGTCGTAGGCGTCTAAAGGGTACAACTTCTGTAGTACAAGGCTAGCTGGGATACACTGTTGTGTATTATACATATAATCGTACCTCGCGCGTCGGTACATATCTTTAGTACCTGAGTTACGACGACTCTTCAGCTTTAGCGTGAGGAACATAACTCAGAGCTGTTTAGCTGAATATTTTAGCGGATCAATGAAGAAGTGTCAATGGACACCTTGAGGTAGCAGTGCTTATCAAAAAACGGCACACAATGATGATCATCCGGGGCGCTCGTGTGGTGGTGAAGTGAGTAAGACAGTCAGTTTTAATGGAGCAACATTCAACGCTTACGATTATAGAAACCGAAGAGTATATGATGGGCATGAGAACACCATTATAGTACGCTTGCCGATAACTGATGTGTCAATGGTTTTATGGTGAAATAAATGTTGAGAAATTGGTGAGCAAGTCTGATATGGGAGGGCCGACGTGATGGCGTTACACCTGAAATGGATCGCATTAACGCCGTTCTTTATAATATTTCGAGATTACGGCCACTGCCTAAAAGGGCGAACGCTCCCGCATTGGTCAACGGGGTAAGATGTGAGAGATACGGTTATGTCCAGCCCTAAGCCCTGCCGTATATATATACCAGCGTGACAATGGGTTTTCCTGCCCATAACACAGAGCTTTGTCAAATTAATATGCGTGGCCATGGAAGCCGTGTTACTTCGTATGGAGGTTTTCTAGGCGGAATGGTGAGCACGGCGACGCTGCCATCTGTATTATGCGGCAATATTATAACCACGAAATAAAAATCACAATTTGTGACCGGAGTAGATTTGGCCGGTAGAGCCTGCGCTTGACGGGACCGGGTGTTTCTCTTAGCAAGATGGCGTCGTCAAAATAGAACTAGGTTATCTGCTGCGCTGTCCGACATGATTTGTCATAAACTATCTAGCTGCTAATCCCATAGCGTTTTATCCGGCCAGGAGTGGAGAGGAAGAATACCAACTGTTCTGCATTAAAAGATCATTGTCGGCAATACAAAATCCTTTGTAAAAGATGAACCAGGACGGAGCTGTGACTACCACAGACTTGTTATCTGTGTGTCTATATGTAGTTAATATCTATATAATTGCCAAAACAAGGCCTAATTGACTAAGTATATTTCTTAAATCATCAAAACCCCGAGGCCCTTATTCATTCACATAACCAAAGAATAAGTCAAAATCCGTTGATACCTGAAGCTGCACTAATGCAGATTCCTCCATTTTTGCCAAAAAATTGGCGTGGCTTCAAAAGGGCCACGTCACATGGCTGGCGGTGCAGAGTTCAGTCCCAAATAGGACGTTCAATATGTGAAGCATAGCAGTAACAACTATAACCAATTTCAAAACATGTGGGTCAAATTTGCCGTTCCTGAGGTTATCCGTTGACCGTAGCAAATTGTTGTCAGAAGTTACGAGGACGGATGACGAGACGGAACGGAGGACGAGGAAACGGACGGACGGACGAACGCGACAGCACGGACAGACGGACGGCACGACGGACGGACGCACCATGGCAATAGCCTCAGCTTAACGCATTTGTCAAGCGTTGAGCTGAAATATGAAATGGAGTAGTGTACCACCTCAGATGGTATTGATGACTTAATTACTGAGCAGGATGTGTTCCCACATTCTAAATCACATGAACTGCTGGCTACACAGGCCTGTGGCCAGAGCTGAAGGGCTTATAGTTCTAGAGCTAAAGTGAGATTAATACATGGCATATGCGACTATCACAAACTTGTGAAGGACGCGTGGTTCGTAGCGTTGGCATGGAATTAGCTTGGCTTGACATAAAAGTGTTAGCAGCAAAGATAGGCCTCATTCTTTGCCACCAGTGTACATATGTTCTCATCCATGCAACCTTTAGAAATCATTCACAGGCATCGCATTTTAACTTGCAGACCTATTTGCATGAAACCAGCGTATTTTAGCGGTGTAGATTTAAACAAAGCTCGCTGACTTACATTGCAGAACGCCGCATGAGAACGGACAATATATATTGTGCGCTTTGATTATCACCGTGTTCGAGTTCAATTCATCACGCTTCGCGATTAACAGTGTTTAACCCGTGGCTACGAGTGCGAGTAGCCTCTTGCAGATGTACTGACGGACTTCACGGCCATTTATGAAATAACTAAAAGAGATGCCATAAGATCATCAAGGCAATACAAAACACGCGTGAGTTTACTTGTAGTGGCGAAGCTACGGTGTTGAGTTGCGTCCAGCTACTGGCGTATACTGACGCTGAGAGGCGTCTATGTCCCCCTGGGTGACTATCGAAGCGCTTGTACCCTGGGTACGCGTTTCGACATATATCGGAACGTACCCTGGTACTATCTAATATGCCGACGACCGCTACCTATCGCCTACCTCCACTAACGAGTCCTAGGGCAGTCCGCCTTACGCCTACTCCCTAACCTAACCCTAAACTCATATCAGCATAGTTACCAGGGTACGTTTTGATATATATATCGAACCGTACCAAGGGTACCCTCCGATAGTACCCTGGAGGACATAGACCCTATGAGCGTTACTGACAGTATGCAAACGTTCCACATCAAGAGCGTATTAAGAAGCATATTAAGATTAACCTTCTTAATACGCTCTTGTCCACATGTTTCTATACTGTGTGGAATGTAGATTTCCCATGCATAATAGCGGCAGGTGATCAACACGAAGAAAGCAAAAACTCAGAAAAATGCAGTTGCTGATAAACCGCTCATGCACAAATGCAACTCTCATTCAGCTACTATGATAGCAGGTTCGACACCTCTCTGCCTACCTGCTGTAACATGTGCAAGGCGCGTTTTGTCCAAACGTCAACCTGAAGCTAAAATGTGCGTGCTGTATTTCATTCAAGACCACTAACACGACTAACTGGACGGCGACACCCATAGGTTGTGCACAAACCAATTTAAAATGACAGAATGAACAATTGTACCTTGCTAAAATAGGTTGCTAATTTTTCTCACGTGATTCAATTGCCATATATTTCAATTGTAAAATGGTCGGGGTAGGCATTATAATATCATAACTGCCAGTTACAATAGTATAATACACTATTGTAATAATTTATTGTTACGATGTAACATCATTAATTGACAGGTTTGAAACATATAGTGATGTTTGGATTATGGTAACAATTTCAAGTGACTGTGACATATATGACCATTTATAATGGTGAATGGCAGGGCAGAATGGCATGGTTAACATATGGTCAGTGCTCACCATGGGTGATTTTAAAAATTGCAAAATTTCCTAACATGCATAGTGCTGCATGGGTTATGGTAACAATTTAAAGTAACTGTGAAAAATACAAGACAGGATTTATAATGGTGGAGTGGCATGATTAACATATGGTAACAATTTATTGTCACCATGGGCGATTAAAGTTAAATTACAAAATTTCCGAATTATATATAGTGATGTATATAGTTTATGGTAACAATTTAAAGTAACTGTTGACAAATAGAAGAGGAGAGTTATAACATATAATGGCATAATTAACACATGGTAACAATTTATTGTTACGATGGGTGATAAACTTTCTTCCATGTGTTATTGTAAGGGCTTTCAATTTACTCCTGACTATAACATGTCTAGTAATGTATTGTCACCGTGTTGTAGCATTTTTACCCAACTATTTAAGCATCTGAGTGATATGGGCAATGGTAACAATTTAAGGTGACTATATGACAACTAACCGATATGGCAGCTGATATAGTTTGGTATCAATGGTGGTAACTGTGGTTTTGTTAATGTGCTGGCCGCTGCCAAGCGTTGCCACTCGCCATACTCGTTGTGGTATATGAGCAGGTACACTTCATAACTAACATATGCTAGTAGTGCACACCTGTGCATGAACAAATTAATAGCTCAATGTGGTTGCTGTATACTGTTACTTAAATCACGGTTACTATTTTCTACAACCTCCCGCAGAATTTTAATTATGCATAAGGATTTCCATCATACTTGTGAAAACTATGTTACAAAACACCATAACCCGACTACCTTTGCAGTGCACATATTCCATCTAATACTCGTGCTTGTTTAAATAAGGATACAGTAGAGCAGTACAGGCTTGCACTGACAGCTGCTTTAAATCTGTGTTCAGAGACTTGGAGCTCTCAGCTTTGCAAAATGCCTAAAAAGAGCCAGCATCGACAAAGGTTAGATGATTAAATCTATGCAGTGCATGACTTCTTAGCCATTTCATTGTTCATTACACTGTGCATATGTATGCCAGGGAGGCACTCAGTCTCACCATCATGTGGCCTAGGAGGTTTGGACGGTTGGCAAGCTCATAGGACATCTTCATGTGAGTCGGATGCAGTGCGTTCCCTATTAGCTCGACTGCCTGTGTCAGGCTTCTCTTTACAACAGGCTCCTGAAACACCCAGTCACAGGATTAAGATGCCAAGTTAATGTATCACTACAAAATAATATTAACTATAATCAAATATTAATCACCCATTAACTTCCTGTATGATGGCTCGCTACAATGCTCACACCCCCTTACCTATATACATTAGTATAGGGAGGCTTTATAGTGAGACTGTGCTGGACCATCAAATCAACCAGGACACGTTTTGTGATGCACACCACATGCCTGGCTCTGCCACCCCTTTTTTAATCACTTGGTTTTTAATGGTGGCCGTAAGTCATTTCCATCGGGTGCTATAGGTAGCTCACTACTTAGCATCCTAAGCCACCTCTGCCTGCACTTATGCATTCCGACTACTTATTAATTCCAGCTCTAACCCGTGTCTCTCCTACAACCTCCCATCTTTTATCCTGTGGACACTTTTCTCTCCTGTGTATACATTACGTCTCCATCCCTTGTCTCCACAATCAATTAATCTCTTCTTCTCTCCCATGCCCTCGTTCCGTTCATTTTGTTCCTTCTTCAACAACCCTTCTCCCCATATTACCTTCACCCTACATTTCCTCCCATGTTAAAGAATCATGTACACATTGCTCCCTCTATTGTATGCCCTCTTCATCACAATTAACTTATCTTGCATTACCCTTTTACAGACCCATACATCCCTCATGTAAGTATGTTTCACCTTGCTGTTGAAATGTGGCACAATACTGCGAAGTATGCTGCTGTCCATGCTAGCCTGCAGTTGGCTTGGCTGTGCATAAAAGGCAACCTGGCCATAGCATAGAATAGCAGTGGCTCTACTCTGGTCCATTCCTGTGGTATCGGTATCCATTTTGTCCTGCAAAAATTCTCACATGTAACAGCAAAAGCACATCACGCTTGAAGTTCAAAATTATATTTTGCATCTACACAGATATCTGTTAATATATTCGATTGGCTTAGGATAATATGCATATGATATGCATATTATCATAAGCCAATCGAATAGATTAACAACTTTTTGCCAAGTTGATTTCTCCTATTGACCTTAAGTCCTTCTTCACCTTAGGTAGTAAAGCCACATGTTTTAATAAAAAGTAGTTTATCGCAAAATTTACTCTCATATTCTAAGCTCTAACCCTATTCACGGTTCACACTATTCAGACTATTAAGTAAAATGTATTAGGTAATAAGTGAAATAATGCAGTCTAACAATAAGTCTTTATCACTTATGTACATACCTTTATGAAGCTGAAGATACCGGATGACTTTTTCTGCAACTCTCCCTTAGCCAGTTGCTCCAGTTTGGTTATGACAGTCTCAAAATTGGTGGAAGCACAGTAGCCAAAGCCTATCGCACATCCCTGCAACGCAATCATATCAATAATGGGTGTGGTGAAAAGATGGGGATAGAAGAAGGTCATAAGAAATTAATGCTGCATCTACTTATCACTACCTATGGTGGTATGGTGGTATGGTGGTATGGTGGTATGGTTGTATGGTGGTATGGTTGTATGGTTGTATGGTGGTATGGTTGTATGGTGGTATGGTGTATGGTGTATGGTAGTAATGGTGTATGGTTGTATGGTTGTATGGTGGTATGGTGGTATGGTGGTATGGTTGTATGGTGGTATGGTTGTATGGTGGTATGGTGGTATGGTTGTATGGTGGTATGGTGGTATGGTGGTATGGTGGTATGGTTGTATGGTGGTATGGTGGTATGGTGGTATGGTTGTATGGTTGTATGGTGGTAGTGCAAGCCTTCTAAACCCAAATGGGACTCAAAAACTGTGAAAAGAACATATGGATCATAAACATGATTCGTGTATAATATTTATAGCGTAATTATATCAGGAGGGTATAATAGCGATCTCTATTATACACTCCTGATTATATGACATTTTGTAAATCGCCTCAACTGCTTGCTGCGAATAAAAATACATTGTCAATTGTATACAGGATAAAGGCAACTATACTTTTCTTAGTGTCCTTGGTCAGCTTTCATCTTATATCAATTAAATACTTAACTACTTAAATATTTAAATACTCTGCAGACTGGCAGACTACAATCATTGTGAAAACAACATGCCTAATGAGATATCGTGATGTAGACATGCGCTTTTGTCCAACAACAAAAAATCAAATGGCCAAAATTATACATATATTTAAACCTTTGGAAGCTTCCTATAATTTCTGAAATGTTTTGTATTGAACTACTCGTTGTGCAAAACTAAAACGCATCTACCATTCATACTATTTTAATCAGCATCCTGCTGCAGCACGTGATAGAACCTGTATACCTCTCTCTCCAGTTGACTGGTGTGTTTCACTGTGGTGAACATGAACTCCAGTTGCGTACCGATGAAGTGTTTTGTGTTGGCCTTGCGTAGTACAACACCAAGTGCCTTGTAGAGAAAGTTCTGCAACCAATTACCGTTATGTTACCAGGTAACATTTACCTGTGTGGATTATAGACAGGGCTATAAGGTGAGGGCACGGGACGGTGGCCAGGAAAGATTGGAAGAGGGAATGGAGAATGGTTGAAAGCACGACAATGTCATAATGACGATATTGTTGAACCGTAAAACACACGGAGTACAACAACAAACTATTAGTTTGAACAGTTGGTATTTTGTTAGATTAAATATGTATTGAGTGGGAAGGGAGATTACAAAAATAGTGCAAGTAATACAGTTTGCGCACCTGTTTAGAATAAGATAATAGCCGCGTTCACACGTAGCAAGAAATCCGGTATTTAGCGTAGATAGACTGGTCCTGCGCTCGACCAAGTTATCAGGTAACACGCGAGTCTGGTAACTGTCGAGCGCGGACGCAGTCTACCGTATTGATCGGCAGTTTGGTGCGCATTCGCATTGTTTATTTCGCATTTGTTCGCTTGATTGTTTAAAGCAGCTCAGCAGCTCCGCAAATAACGGGGCGATTTCTGGAGCCCACGCGAAGTCAAGCGGTGTGAACGCTCGGACCCCGCGTACTTTTGTGCTCAGATTCGGTATTTCGCAAATACCGTATTTCATCAAAACGAGGTCTCCGTGTAAAACGAGGCTTATATTCAACAACATAGCATGGTATTTATCTGCCCTCCCTCTTGGCCCTATAGTCATAATCAGTGAAGTATCACAAGGTAAGCGTAGAATGTATCATGCTTCATGATAGAGTAACCACAACGCATACATTAATCCTCCTTATACCGAATTATTTACTCCCGAAATATAAATTGTTCATAATTAAATGATCAAAAAAAGGCCAGCTCTGTTATTAAATAGAGGTTCTTTATCTATAATTCTATTACCCCGGTGCATGATTAAATGAAGTAAAAACAAACTACCCCGCCACCAACCCAAAAAAATAACGACACAACCCTGCAGACTGAAAGATGTCTTTACAACTTGTTCCATCGAACGCAGACGTTTTTTCCATGGAAATCGAATGTCGCACGGGGACTGCCTCATACTAATGGGCGCCTTTTATCCCACATGTTTAGCTTCCGCCGCTCATTAATTAAAATTATATATATTGCAATTAAATTACGACGAAATCAAGCACACCCACTGTATTTTGTAGCCACCTATATTCATGCTGCAAATGATACTGTGCCTGACCTCGCTTGGACAGCACCTCCCTGTTACTAGTAGGTCCCTATAACAAAGTATATAGGACCCTAGAACTTTACTATAGCTCTAGACAGAGAACGTGCAAAACATGTCTTCATAGAGTCACTCTGTGCCCTTGTGCCTAGCAATTAGCTCAAGCAACCATGCATCCATCAAAGAGAATTACTATACTTCCTTCGTACAACGGGTATATATAATTTGTGAAACTTCCCGCAACAAGTGCTACGCTGCTGTGCACGAACTGTGGTGGCGTTTTTACTATACTTTATCACTAGAACTCATATTAACAGGTATGTAGATGGACTCATCCTCTTCTTAATTGAATACTTCGTTCAAGGATGAGAATTGAAACAATTTCCAGGTTTCAAGCAAAAAACTGGTTTTTACTTGTTTCATGTTCGTATACGTTATACATATGGCTACTACGATAAATCATAGTTTATTACAATATTTATGTTGTTACTAAAATCTATCACGTCTAAGATAAATTTACAATGTGATTTACCCGTAAGTATAAAAGTAAAAAGCGCAGCACTGCGTTTGCCAATATTCATAATACTATAATATATATATATTACCTAAAAGACACTATTCGAAACATTTGCAACGCTTCCACTGCATCGTGCACAGAATCATTGCATCGTGATCTATCATATAGCGCCTGTGCTCGGGCAGCCAAGACTGCCTTTATTACATAGCTTGAGCAACCATCAGGTAATTACACCTAATCTATATCATCTTGTCAGAGGCGGCTTTGTTACTTTACTACTCATCTATGTTCGCCACAGATGACAACAACGTACGTAATTAATTCATATTATCTATGCCAGTATTTGTTAACGGCTTAACGCAGCCTTAGAAAGATCATTACAATTAGAAGCAGCTTACTAATCATGAAGCTTCGCCCTGGTCGGTCACAAACGTACATAATTAATGCGGATCCATGTCAGTAAACGCTCAAAGACAAAACGCCACATTAAAAAAAACTCAGGAAATTTATACATCAAACGCGATATACGCTTGACACTCCAGTTCCGAATCAAAAACCACGATCTCATTATGAAAGTTGCCCCCTGAGGTCGTGCAAGATGAGTCGTGAGGAAGTATTAATTTAATTTTTCGGTTCACCCGCAGATCATACTCAAGTGCCCCCTGAGGCCGTGCAAGTTTGAGTAGTGAGAAGTAATATCGCATCCCTTCTTGTTCACCCGCTAGCGCATATATCAAGTTCCCCCTAAAGGTCGTGTAAGATTTTTAATTCGAAATATTATTAAGTATTCTTTCGGTTCACGCGTAGCTCGTACTCATGTCTTACCGGCCGTAGTAAGGGAGATCCACGCAGCACACGCAGCAGACACATGCGCTAAAACAAACGGGTTAGCTCTAAAATAAGCTTTCGTGGAATGTTTTCGAAAATGCATTTTGGCCAGCGAAAAGTAAATTACGCTAACCATAATTTGACCTTTTTCGGCTGGCGCTCAAAATACGACAAGAAAAACACATACATTACTGCGAGGAAAATAAGCGGCACCCGCCAGTATATAATACTGCCTATAACTCTCGTACTGCAAGCCGATTGGGTGTTGCTGGCCTTCGTCGGTAGCTATAAGACCTATGCTCAGCAGCAATAACACAACCCTCCAAGACGTATTCCCTGCAATCATTTAGCTGAACCGATGAGCAGCAACGTAAAGGGAAAATTTAGCCTCGCTGCTCTCTGGGCACGCGTTCTGTTCGCTCACAATGACAGGCAAAAGCATCTCGAAAGTCCATACTACGTCATTCTCTCCTGCATTAAAAGTGGGTGCAGAATCGGGGACACAGCTATAAATACTCGTGCAAGTTACGCTAGCAAAGGGTTTGTCTTGGGGTGACGTGCGCGCGCGGCAAAAAACACGCAGGGAGGACGACGCGGGGTGTCCGAAGTCACTGTGTGAGCATCTTATATTCAGTCTCATATTTCTCCTGCTTCGAAGCATCGCATTTTTATTTTGAATATTGAATATAAATGAAGTAAGCTCGTGCCATGACGGTAAAGGTGATGGATAAAACGCAGTTGTCAAACCAACTCGCAATCTGGTGGTCGCTGCAGGATTTCTAGCAATTATATACTTTGTTATTATGAACTGTACCTATTCAATCATGTAAGATGTTTATCCAACATATCGACAACATCCTATTTTATTACGACTTATATATGATATTTTACTGTCAATACACGTTTTATTATTATCAACGATTGCTTTCTCTCAGCATCATGTACCGGATTTCTTAGATCGGTTCTTTTTAGGAGTTTTCGTCTTAAGTGCAGCTGTCAGCAGTATGTAATTATACAGTGGCAAATCATTCTCGCAGTGAGTTCCTCTACTGCACAAAATCACATATTATATTTAAAGTATAATATAACATATAACTTTTATTCACAATTAATTGTGAGAACAATATCATTAGAGTAACAACGCGGAAGTATCAGTATGTTTGTAAGAGAAATGTGTGAGAAAAAAATAATCAAGATTTCGCAGCTTGCAAGGTACTTCTATGGACATCGTACAGTTTCATAGCTCACATTAACATGTGTAATTACGTTAGCAGGCAGAATACAGCTTCCTCACACCTCACAGCGACGATACTTTCCACAGTGGTTACTATGGCTTCCAAAGAAACAGGTAGGCCTACAGCAACTTTTATACGGTTACAGAATATTTCTCCTTCAGAATCAAACATACAATCATCCCACCTTACTATACGATGTATATCTTGCATAACAATGTTGCATAAATAGGTTACCAAAACATGTTATCTGTTGACGGCTGGAACAATAGTTATAGAGGTTCGGTTTCCGATTTAAACTTAATCTTTTTATAATATACTATGTATATATATATATATATATATAGTAATATATATGATATATATATATATATATATATATAATATATATAATATATATATACTATATATAGTACAGTCCTCTACTTGTACAAGAGTTACGTTATAGTAACCCTTTGCGTAAATAATAGATTATTATTGTCAATTAGCATCGCGTAGCACAAAGCTATTCACGTGAGGTCGAGTTTACGTAAGTCGCATGCTATATACATACATGCATGCTACTGGGATAATGCATGAACCGTTTAGGAAGACCACGCCAGATATATATTAACGACCTCTCTCTTGGCAATTACTTATCAAACCACCTTTACTATATTAGAATACCCTCACCGAGTAGAAGGGTGTTTGTGCGAAACATGCCGCATAATTTCAAGAACTCGGTTCTTATTACATATTTGCAGGAGTTAATAAAGACAAATTGATAATTTGATAAATTGATTGATTGATAATTTGTCTTTATTAACTCCTGATATTTGTTGGCTCTGACAGGTGGCACCGGGAAATTCCTGCCAAGTTCATGTCAGATAGTCAGTGTGCAGACAGACGAAACGTTTACATGCTCGAATCTGTTTTCCCGGCATAAAATGCTGCCTGCACGAATGCACAAAACAAGCTGGCTGGGAGCTTTTAGCCATCCGTTCGTACTCGTCGATTCAGGCTTGATTACGATGTCGGCGGGCCCCCCTCCTATCCGCTGCATTATACGGCGGGCAACGCGGTCCTGCAGCACGTGTCCTGGGCCGTTGCCTCTAGGGGCAAGAAGGGCAGCTGCCACGCCGTAGATTTTGAGCAATATAAAAAGAGCAAGCTTAGGAATAATTTAATTATATTATATTTCAAAAAGTAATCCGAAAATAAAATCTATTAAATAATGGAACAACAATTACAATTACAAA